TAAAATACGTGGATATAAAAATCTAGAAATTCATTGTTAAATTAATATTTTTTTAAAAAGTTAGATTCGAATATTCAGGATTTTCAGCATCACTATGAAAAGTTGTAATCTAAAATATGTGGATATAAAAATCTAGAAACTCATTGTTAAATTAATATTTTTTAAAAAAGTTAGATTTAGGCTTGTGATTGAACTTGATATAATAATAATCTATACCGAGATACAAAAATTATAGAAATTGAACCATATATAATATGATGTGAACACCTCCTAAGATACACTAAAACTTTGAATAGTTTGCAACTTTATTCAATAAGAACCCATCTCAGAAAACCAAAGCTATATGCAATAATCACCCCCATTTTATGATTATAAGAGATGTAAACGAGTGATATAAAATTATAACAAAGTTGATTAATCTTTTAAAATGTTTGCAAGTTCAATCAAGAAATTAGTATGAGAATCACTCAACCATACAAAATATAATAAGAATAGCGACTTTTTAATTAAAAATAGTCTAAACTCTAAAAGTTTCTACAAAAGAATATTTATACTAGAAAAAGTGCTAAGTCTAATAGAATATCCCTCATGGATATAGATAAACTTAATAAATAATAATAATAATCTAAAGAACCTAAATTTAAATAAATGCTCTAATATCTCTAAAAAGCCTAGTAATAACTAAAAGATAAATAAAACAATAGACCAACTAATTTAAATAAGACTAAAGCTGTTTTTGTAATTAGTTAATAAAATCGAAGCCCAACTTTAAATATATGATTCTTTCTCATCTTAATGAATTGAAGGAATGTCATATGTCACTTGAAAGATAAGGATGATTACTTTCCAATGCAAGTTTAATAGTATTAAAATTATTTTTTTAGCTCAAGTTATGACAAAAATAGTAGTAAAAGGTCAAAATTAACAAATTTAAATCTACTTATTTCAATCTTTTTGTAATGTTTGAATGTCCACCAATAGGCCATTCTTGAACATGAATTAAATTATTCAAGTCTTGCTCTTTATTATTTAATATCTTCTTGAAATCTAGTGTTAAAGAAGTCTATTGAAAGCCTATTTGAACATTTTAGCCAAAAGTTTTATCACTAGACCAATTGAAACATGTAACGAATATCTCAATGTTGTTTGGATCACATATTCCTTTTCTCATTAAAAGGATCCATTCTTAAATCATCACTTGCATCAAATAAAAAAAGATTAGAAACATTGAATATAGCACTAACACTATGCTCACATGATATGTGAGATCCCATATCGAAAGCAAGTGTCCAAAGCCAGGGCCTTATAAGTGGTGCTGGTCGCTAACATGTTATTCTCGTTTTGAGATCATGCGTGACTGTTAAGAACAAAATTGTGAGGGGGATCTTGGTGGAAGCCTTAGATAAGGGTGAACTAAGAGGACCAAAATGGACAATATACAACATGTTGGGCCAGGTCGTTACATTTGATATCAAAGCCAAGGACGACTAGTCTTAAGGTGGGGGGATTGTGAGATCCCACATTGGAAGTGAGCGTCCAGAGCCAAAGCCTTATAAGTGGTGGTGGTTGTTAACATGTTGTACGTGTTTTAGGGTTATGCTTGGCTACCAAAAACAAAACTGTGAGGGGGACCTTGGTGGAAGCCTTAGATAAAGGTGAACATAAAGGCCCAAAGCGGACAATATACAGCATGTTAGGCCAGACCGTTACATAATAGATCCATTTTGTATACACTGTCATTAATCCTCTTTATAATTTGAAAAGGACCATCTTTTTTAGGTATAAATTTTGATCTTCTTTGTTCAAGAAACCTTTCCTTCCTCATATTCACAATGTTGGGTTTTATAAAACACATATATGTAGCGAAAACTATAAATTTAAAATATTTTTAAAATCCTAAGGATCTCTTTAGACATATCTAGAGTTATTTAGGGTTTGTACGAACATTACCTAAAGATCAAACGTTATTTTTGGTTTTGAATATTTGTTAAAAGGTAGGTTATCACAAATCACAAGTCGTCCAGGTATCTAACCTCTAACAATAATCTACACAAACCACCAATAAAAAAAAATCTCCTAAACCCTTTTAGAAGATAAAAATTGTTATACCTTAGAGTGTTAATTTTTTTTATTTTGCATTTTAAGTATTTATGTATTGTACTTTTCTCACCTTAAAAAATAAGAGGCATAATTTCTATTTATAGAAAACTTAAAAACCTTATAAATAACAAAATATCAATTTTTTCCTTAAATAATATTGTTTGTTCTTATCTCCCTTTCTAATATCACCCAAATGTTCTTATCTCCCTTTCTAATATCACCCAAGTGGCTAATTTTTGAAATTTATTCAATCAAGTCCTTACTTGATTGTTTCTAAGTCTAGAATTGTAATTTCATATATTAATTACATTCTAGTCCTTAATTTATAAAACTTATTTACAATCAAGTCACACTTGATTAATCATTCCATTTTAATTTCTAACTAATGGTTCTTATATGTGTGACCCATTAGATTCTACAATAAGTTGGTCCAAATATAAATCATAATCTTAAATAAAATAGGAATAAATAAATTAGTTTATTATCAATTCAATAATTGATTGATTTATATTTGAATATTAAGTACAATGCCTAGCAATCTTGTTATGATCCCCCAAATATTAGAAAAGTTATAAATGATTAAATGTCATGAGTGTTTTTATTATAGCCTAATTCATAACATAATATGTCTTAGGCTATAGTAATATTATCTTTGTGCCCTTTTTTTCAAAAATTAAGCCTTTTGGGTGTGGGTGTTGATGTCTTTTTTATTTTTTTACATAGTAAAAATACTATTTTCCCTTAAAGTCAACAAAATATTGAACTATTGACCAAGGGCTTTCTTGACTTTGCATTAGCTTCTTGATAGTAAAAATGCATATTTGGCCCTACAGTCAAAAAATTATTGTGCTGCTGGATAATATGTTTTGGGGTTTTTGAATTGTAATATACAATGCCATTACATCTTTAACCTTGAAAAGTAAAAAAAAATAAGCTTAGCATTTGGGGGTATTTTCATACCATCATATGGTTATTTTGTGTAATTATCAGGGTCATGGGGGTATTTTTGTATTTTTAATTTTTTAAAATTTTTTTAATGTTTAAAGTTGTTGGAGTATGCTCAGCACGCCCTAACGCGTGAGTGACATCTACACCATTCAGGCAACACATCTGATGCCACTCGGTGAATATAACTAACCTTCTGTCGTCTTTTCAGATACGTCATAGTATCCCTTTTCATTTGGAGTGGCATATGGCAATTGACGATAGTCAGATTATCACCGATGATCATTTGATTTTTTTTCTCTCTCCTGATAGGTAACATACACCATTATCCTCTTTATTTTTTACTTTTTAATTTCATTCCTCAATCTATTAATTTCTTATTTCATTTTTTTTCATTTATAGAAGTTTTTATTCTTTTCAATTTAGTCCTTCAATTGCAATTTCTCATATGTTTGGTTTTTTATTTCGATCCTTATTTTTTAAAATTTCTAATTTTTTTCTTGGTACTTTTGTTGAAGTTATTTTCTTTCAATTTTATCATTTAATCAAATTTTTTATTGCTTTATTTGTTTCCAGTTGACCCTTAATTTGTTTTTCTTTTTATTAAAGCCATTTTGTAATTCAATTAAACCCTCTAATTGAAAATTTTTATCCCTCTAATCAATGTTTTTTCTCACCCTTATTTTTTTTTATACTTTTGTGTAAATTTCTTTTCTTAATTTTATCTTTTGACATTTAATTTATTAGGAATTCGGCTTCATACTATTTTATTGTTCTGCATTAGTTTTTTTTTTTTTTAACATTGGTTTTGTGATTACCTTCAAGTTTTTTCTATTAGTTTATTATGGTCTCTTGATTTAGATTATGATTTTTGTATGTTTTTTTTTTAATATATATTTTTTAGTTGTTATGTTTCTATTTTATTTTTTAAAGTATTATTCTAATTCATCTATAATATATATTTTTTATACAAATAAAGCTTATTTTTAAAAATTAAAAATAATCATGTTTAAATTATATTGTTGATGTGTTTAGCCTTGCGTAATATTTTTTCAATTTATTCAGTCAATTCTATTTATGTTTATCTTTTAAGTTATAAATTTTTCAGAATGTAAAAAAATAATCATGTTTAAATTATATTGTTGTTGTGTTTAGCCTTGCGTAATATTTTTTCATGGTATGAATTTATTCAGTCAATTCTATTTATATTTATCTTTTAAGTTATAAGTTTTTCAGAATGTAGATTAATCTCTTATTTATTTAAATAAATAAGTTTATTAAACATAAAATACATGTCTCCTTTTATGTTATAGAATATCTTAATTTTGCTTTCATAAACCTTTTAATTTACACTTTAAAATTCTTTATATATATAAAAACATATTTAAGTAACTTTCATACCTACTATTTTTTTTTTTAAAAAAAAAGTATATAATCCGCTGTGAATCGCGGATTAAACGGCTAGTTCTCGACTATAATCATTCAATGACTGTTATGTCAGGTTGCTAATAGCAGAGGGAGTAGGGTTGCATGGAATGTGATGCAGTTCATGTTTACCATATGGTACCAGAGACCAAGGAAAAGGAAAAGCCCCTTAATTCTATCAAATCTAACGAACAATGGCCCTTCTTTATGTTGAAATAATATTTAATTATTAATACTGAGCGAAAAAAGGTTTGGGTCACACCAGTTACCCAGATCCTTTAATCAGGGATTTGTAAAAGCAAAAGACCAGCCTTTAGGAGCAGAGGAAAGGAAGCAACCCTCTCCAAATCACGTAGTTAGTAATTTCACCTCTGAGAACACGAGAATTCATTTGTTTAGCCATGCAAGGAAAACATGAACGCCCCTTCAAGTATCTGTGGACGGCGAAGATCAAAACTGAATTGAGCTCTTATATATACTACCTTCGTTTGTTTTGGGTGTGTGTCCAGTGCTGCTTGCGCGTCTAAATCATGCGGTTCGGCAAAGCTGTAATTGCTATCTTGCTCGTATCCATAATATGTAAGTCAACAAAAGGAAATCCAATACTCGAAGAAGAGAACAACTTCACAACTGGCTCATCAACATCCCCATGGCTAAAGAAAGTAATGAACCATGGCCCACGACCACGGCCCCCCGGGTGTCGGAGTACGCCGTGGATATGCAGAGAGGGACTGCATCCATCTTCAGCTCGAGTGCAGTGTTGTAGAAATCAATGTGTTGATGTCTCTTCAGATGTTAGTAACTGCGGTTTCTGCGGAATTAGATGTTCGTTTACTCGGCAATGTTGCCGCGGGTTCTGTGTTAATACAAATCGTAGCCCGTTTAATTGTGGCCAGTGTGGGAACAGATGCCCCTGGAAAGTCCGGTGTGTTTATGGGATGTGTGGATATGCTTAGCCATTTCCTCCACTACCTTTTACCTGATCCACCTATGACTCATCATCCCTTCGAAGTTCAGCCACCTTTAATAAGTGAAGATCTTAATTAATTGATCATTGTTGCTCAAAATGTTTTCTTAAGACCTCAAGTTGTTTTCTTTTCTTTTCCGGTTGAATCTATATATGTTCTTTTTTAATCCGCTTGCCAGGATCACCCCTTATAGGGCTTGAGTGTTCCTTCTTGCATGTTGTGATTTCATTTTAAATTTCTTATGAGGGATCTGTTTTATATAGACGACATATATATATAATAGTAGTTTATTAACCATATTGCTCTTTCTTATGCGGTTTGTAACTTTCTCACCAACTAAAAAAACATAGAAAATTAAAAAATATTTTGACCAAAATAAATTATATAATATACTTAAAGGAAACTGTCTTTTATCGTAGAAATGACAATTTTGTGATTTTTTTTTACTTGTTATGTACTTTTCAAATTTTAACTTTATTATCTCTCAATTTTTTACAAATTTAATTTGACCAAAAACTTTATTTTTTTGAAACTTCATTTAAAAGATAAGCGAAAAAGTTGTTAGATTCTAATGAAAGAACAAAAAAAATCTTGACTGTTATTAATTCTGATCACAACAAACATCAATTTTAGTATTAATAGGTTACATTCAATGAAAAGAAATCTTATTAGGTGTTCTTTCATTCTCTCATTGCCTAAGATGAAAGATCTGAGCATGAGAAGGATTTTTTTGTTTGATTTTGAATTTTTTTGACCTTTTTTTTGTGTTATTTGAAGTCATAGACAAGTTTATTAAGATGTATGAAATGTTTTGGTCAAAATTTGGGTCAATAATTGGTTGAAAATGAGTTTTTAAATAAAAAAATCATCCCTTGATTTTTTTAAAATTTAAAGAGAGGCAAGTGACACGATGTTTGTTTTGTCCTTTTTAAAAAAAAACATTTTAGGGTACATTACCAATCGTCTACCCCTTAAAAATTAAAAAAGAGAGTAAAAAGCTAACCCATATGAGCGAATCTAGGCTGAAAATCTAGTTCGCTGACACAATTAAAAGATTGATATAGAAGTGTCGAAGTCGTAAATAACCAGGTAAAAGTGGGATCGAACCACAACAAAGTCATCTATATAAATTATAAATAATAATAATAATAATAATAATAATAAGAAGAAGAAGAAGAAGAAGAAG